AAAGTCTACCTATGGATAAACTTCTCTCAGTGTGTACTGATGGTGCTCCGTGTATGGTGGGGAAAAACAAAGGATTTGTGGCGCTTCTCCGTGAACATGAAAATAGACCCATCCTAAGTTTCCATTGCATTATACACCAGGAGGCACTTTGTGCTCAGATGTGTGACAGGCAGTTTGGCGAAGTGATGTCGCTGGTCATTCGTGTGATCAACTTTATTGTTGCCCGAGCCTTAAATGATCGCCAGTTTAAAACACTGCTGGATGAAGTTGTAAATAACTATCCTGGTCTGCTTTTGCATAGCAATGTGCGTTGGTTGTCAAGAGGGAAGGTGCTTAGCCGTTTTGCGGCTTGCCTGAACGAAATCCGGACTTTCCTTGAAATGAAAGGCGTCGGGCATCCTGAGCTAGCCGACACCGAGTGGCTCCTCAAGTTTTACTATCTCGTAGATCTGACTGAACATCTGAACCAGCTCAACGTGAAAATGCAAGGCATTGGAAATACAGTGTTATCCCTTCAACAAGCTGTATTTGCTTTTGAAAACAAGCTGGAGCTTTTCATCACGGATCTTGAAACAGGTCGTTTACTACATTTTGAAAAACTGAGCCAATTTAAAGATGCATGCACAGCAAGTGAGCCCATTCAAAACCTTGATCTCCACCAGCTAGCTGGCTGCACATCCAGTCTCCTACAGTCCTTCAAAGCACGCTTTGGAGAATTTCGTGAGCACACTCGTCTTTTTAAGTTCATCACCCATCCAAACGAGTGTTCACTGAACACAGCCGACCTGAATTACATCCCTGGTGTCTCCGTCAGAGATTTTGAAGCAGAAGTGGCTGACCTGAAGGCCTCAGACATGTGGGTGAATAAGTTCAAGTCACTGAATGAAGATTTGGAAAGAATCACACGACAGAAAGCGGAGTTGGCGAGCAAGCACATGTGGACAGAAATGAAAAAACTCCAACCCGAAGACCAGCTGATTCTCAAAACTTGGAACGCGCTTCCTGTCACATACCACACACTGCAGCGTGTGACTATTGCTGTATTGACCATGTTTGGATCTACGTATGCATGTGAGCAGTCATTCTCACATCTTAAAAACATCAAGTCCAACCTACGATCACGTTTAACGGATGAAAGCCTCAACGCTTGCATGAAGCTTAACCTCACCAAGTACCAACCCGACTACAAAGACATCAGCAAATCCATGCAGCACCAGAAGTCGCATTAATGGTGAGTGTTATAACAACATTATTTAAAAGAATAAATTCAGAGGCTTATTATACTGACATTTAGTTGAATTCACTTTAAAAATATATTATATGGCTCTCACTGAAATAAATTTCCAAATTTTTTGCTTTCATGGCTCTCTTAGTCAAAAAGGTTCCCGACCCCTGTCCTATACGTAACTTTTAAGTGGTATGCTTGTAACTGATGAATTATGCGACTGTTCCTTATTTCAAAGACAATGGCTTGCGCCAGAGGCAGATGCTTCCTGAATCACGAAAAATACCAGTTGACCCACATCACAAGAACAGCTCTCACGTGAGTTATCTGTAAAGGTTACTTCCAAAACACACTTTCTCCGAACAATCACATATTCCATGTTTGACCCTTATAGACAAAATGTTACATGTACGCACAAAATCAGACAAATATTCTTTAAATAATAATTTCAAATTATTGATAGGCATATTGCCAAAATGTAATTACTGCACTGAAATGTACTTCATCATGTTATATCGTATTTACAAGTTGATCTCTGTCGGATGAGGCCTTCACCTGCAGCATTCAGATTGAGAGAAGCCAAGTGGTAGTGCATTCTTTTTGTTGCAGAGGTTCAAGATTCAATCCCGACAGGCATCCCTGGTTAGTCCAGGAACATTAATAATAAATATGCACCGTCTGTTTAACAGTGAATTTAAAACATACTATTGTCATTCAAAATGCATTGGTCATTGCATGTTGGTCTCATGGTCAAAATTTGGGAAATTCCAAACATTATTCAGCAATTACATTAATCGCCCCCTACTCAAGACTCATGCCCACATGCAGGCTGGTGCAGGGCCACTTTATGCCACACAGGGGCAGCTGCCACTTGGGTGTGCTTGTACATATTTTCTTGAAAAATAATTAAAAAGACAAAATGTTAATTGATTAAATTATGCAAATTTATTTAATTCTGCAAATGTATGCAATTATGCAAATTAGGCTCAGCTTCGTTGTCTCCGGTGTATTACCAATCGTGATAATACAATGATTCTCGCTTTCACTTTCACTGATTATGCTTTAGTATAATTTTGTCAGGTCTCAGAATTCAGATCTCACTGCAGGATACAGTTCTTATAGTTTAGATAATGCATGAACTTAGGAAGGAACCACTCGGACTCTTCTATGTTAAGCAACTTTAATATCTAAAAACACTCTAATATGCGAACACACTTATGATCGGAATTGTCAACACCATACTCCTGAAGATGTGTTACTCATTGCTCCATACAATTAACCCTCAAGGGTTACGTTGTTAAAACTGAGTAACAGAACAATCAGAGTAGCTCGACCATACACTGCGTTAGGAAAAGTACTTAAAAAATGACAATATTCATACGAAACGTGCTAAAGAAGCATTTGCCCAATGGCAAAAGTAGACAATTAATTGGTAAGATTATGATTTCAACAAAATGTCCTGAAACAAGTGTGCATGATAGTTGTGCCTGTTTGGCTAACAGATGCTTATTAATTGGCTAATAGGACATCAATGAATTTGGACAAGATTCTGTGGTCAAAAGAAAAATCTCCAAAAGTATTCCTGTGTGTAGATTCGTAACATAGATGCTCATAAAGGTTTAGTGTGTCATCAATTCATTCATTCGTAAGGTTATGCAATTAACGAAAACAAATGACTAAAATACTTTTAAACTACCGTATTTATGTAACTCAAGGGACAAAACAATAGTTAACACACCACCTTGGGATGGCAACCCTTTTCGAAACACAAAGATAACTTTTTGGAACAATCTTAAGAGTACCAATATGCGCGTTGTGTGTGTGGGCGTGTGTTGTCTTCTTGCTAACTGTTGCGTTAGCGGCTTCCGAGGTGCAGCACTGCCGAGTCAGCACGTTGGTCACGCTGTGGGTGGTGCCCGTGCTGGCAGGGATGTTGGGCCCGGCTCCGTCGGCGTCGATGTGCGCGATGATCCCGTCGCCAGACACCGCTCGCAGCTCATCCGCTGGTTGCCACGCGTTACCCCCCTTGGCACCAGACACTGTTGATCCTTGTAGACTGTGGAGAGACTGTGGAGAGACAGCGCCTGTCATCTCCCACCCCCCCCCCTCTTCAAGAGAGTCCTCTTCCAGTTGTCTGTACGACTCGTGCTGCAGAGAGGGCAAGCTACAGATCAAGTTATATCGTTCCGTGTCAGTCTCTGATTCGACCCTCAACGAAAATTCGCCAGTGGGTTGCGATTTAAAGGGGCACTCTCATGAATAGTCGTTGCACCAGTTTTCCTTCGAAGGGTTGACTTTGATCCGAGCACAATCGTAACGATTGTCACTCTATGATCGCATGTGTTGGCTATACACAGCGACCTCACCACCGGGAATAGTAATGCTACAGCACTCTTCCCCACGTTTGTATTGTAATACTGCAAGTACCAGCCTTGGCTGGCAGCCTCTCTCAATGATGTAAACGGATTTTTTAAACTCTCCGTGATGCGTGGCTTCTGCCGATGCAGAGCTCCCTATCAATCTTGCCAGTCACGAGGGCAATCCCCGGAGCCTGCCACTCGCAGTACTGATGAAGACCGCTTGTGTTGTAGCCGAAACGTCGTGAGAATTTTGTGTTATTTTATTTTATCAATTTATTATTTTATTCTCATTCTACGTGACTTTACCGAAAGAACCAAAGAAGTACTGATTTATGTTCTTGCGTTCTTGCTTATATCTGAATTTTCCACCTCAGGCCCTTTCTTCTCACAAAGGGGCAGCTGTTTTCCTTTTGAAGTCGCTTGGGCTGTTTGTTGTCCGGATGTCTTCATTACCACCATGTTTCCGTTCACGTTTTGGGCAGCGTTCCCCACGCTCCCATCACGGGTTGGAAGTGTTAAAAAAAATTCGCCTCAACACGTGCAGTCTCTCTCAAAAAGGGGGGCTGTAGCCTTTGAAGTCGTGACCTATTGTGCACGGGTGTGCTTGCTGTCGCCATGTTTTCTGTCCTCTCATCATGTGTTGGAAATAACAAAAAAAATACACCTCTTCCAGCTTGGTACCGTACCACTTTCCGCAGTTTGACTCTGCAAGCGACTCAGAGTACGTTTTGAGCAGCGTTCACAGCACTCACGTCGCGGTTTGGGATTCTTGCGTGGTATTTGATGTTAGGGGGAGGTGCCCCCTACATAATTTACTGCTACCATGTGCTGTGTTAGCTACTGGAAGACAAAGGCGGTTGGTGAGGCTCTGATCCCGTGGAATACATATTATCTTGGTCGTGTGTGATTGACATATTTCACATTGTATCTCTTCTGAATGATCCTCGGTCTAATACTTTCAGAATTATTTGGTTAATGCTTAACCAAGATTTGTGGACTACCATAGTTGTTACCTTTGTTCCCAGTCTGTATCGCCAGGGATCCGTGCTTCTTATTTTCAAGTTAGATTTTGATATCCTGAGGTTGAAGATATAGCTAAGCTTCCAACTTTACTGTTGTATTTTAAAAATCCCAGTCAACTCATAATGATTTACTGCCTTAAATGGATTTCGCTGTCCAGGGAGGTTTGTCACCCCTGCTGTTTCCGTCTTTTGTATGTTTTATTGAGTTGTTTCCTTTATGGCAGCCTTCTCTTGAAGTTTAAATTCTTACAAAAAAAAGGCAGAATCAGTATTAATATTTTTTTTTTGGAAAAGGCATATATACAACATGCTCTTCGAGTGTTTGTGATGAGATATGATACAAAACTCCGAGTTGCTGAGGCGATTAAGCAAGCACCATATGAATGCTAATATTATTATAACATAGTGAATGCTTGGCTCTCGCTCCTGGTTAGAGATCTACCCAACCCACAGGTCCGCAAATACTGGCCGCTCTTACTCTGCAGGTTGAACCTAGGAATTAGTATTCAACTTCACATTCTTTAATGAAAGGCGTGTTACAAAGGTGAATGTATTGGGAAATCATCGTCTCAAGCTTACACATCTACCGGGTCTCCATTTAACTTTCTATCATTTAAGAAGTCCACCCACACCTCCACTTCTACAAACTGCTGGGAGTTGCCTCGCTCTGCATCAGAGTCAGAATTCTCCTCCTGCTTCACGTTGCCTCCATCGACGTGAAGGTCTGATTTTGGAATTGAATCTTCATATTCACATTTTACCTTCACTTCTTCGCTCTTCAATGTCGCCTCTTCACATTTCACCTTTGCCGCTTCAAATATCACCTTGACACTTTTTACAGTGTCCAAGCTGGGATTTTCTTCTGGTTCTTGTTTCAGGAGGGATTGGCTCATTGCAGCACTTTGACTTTTACAAGCCGATTTCAGACTGCACTCCTTGGGGACCTTCTGATGCCTGTGTGTTCTCTGGTGCTTTTGAAGAATCGATGACCGTGAAAACACCTTCCTGCACACAGTGCACTTGAACGGTTTCTCTCCTGTGTGTGTTCTCTGGTGTATTTTAATGTAAAATGAACTTGAAAATGCCTTCCCACACACACTGCACTTGAAGGGTTTCTCTCCTGTGTGCGTTCTCTGGTGTTTTTTAAGAAGTGATGAATCCGTAAATGCCTTCTCACACGCAGTGCACTTGAAAGGTTTCTCTCCTGTGTGTGTTTTCTGGTGTTTTCTAAGATTAGATGACTGTGAAAATGCCTTCTCACACACACTGCATTTGAAGGGTTTCTCTCCCGTGTGTGTTCTCTGGTGGCTCTGAAGATCTTTTGACTGTGCAAATGCCTTCCCACACACAGGACACCTGAAAGGTTTCTCTCCCGTGTGTGTTCTCTGGTGGCTCTTAAGATATGATGACTTTGCAAACGCATTCCCGCACACACTGCACTTGAAGGGTTTCTCTCCTGTGTGCGTACTCTGGTGTATTTTAAGATGTGATGAATGTGCAAACACTTTTGAGCACAAAGTGCACCTGAAGGGTTTATCTCCTATGTGTGTTGTCTGGTGTATTGTAAGATATGATGACTGTGCAAATGCCTTCTCACACACATTGCACTTGAAAGGTTTCTCTCCTGTGTGTGTTCTCTGGTGTCTTTTCAGTTTTGATGACCATCCAAATGCTTTCTCACACACAGTGCACTTGAAGGGTTTCTCTCCTGTGTGCGTTCTCTGGTGGCTCTGAAGATCTTTTGACTGTGCAAATGCCTTCCCGCACAGAGGGCACTTGAAGGGTTTCTCTTCCGTGTGTGTTCTCTGGTGGCTCTTAAGATATGATGACTTTGCAAATGCCTTCCCGCACACACTGCACTTGAAGGATTTCTCTCCTGTGTGCGTTCTCTGGTGTATTTTAAGATGTGACGAATGTGCAAACGCTTTCGAGCACAAAGTGCACCTGAAGGGTTTATCTGCCATGTGTGTTGTCTGGTGTATTGTAAGATATGATGACTGTGCAAATGCCTTTTCACACACAGTGCACTGGAAAGGTTTCTCTCCTGTGTGTGTTCTCTGGTGTCTTTTAAGTTTTGATGACCATCCAAACGCCTTCTCACACACAGTGCACTTGAAGGGTTTCTTTCCTGTTTGAGTTGTCTGGTGCTGTGTAAATTTTCCAGTACGATCCGTGCTGTTTGCATGCTGGTCGCATTGTTTCCTTCTACCGAGCTGCGCTGAGTGCCTTTGCTCCATCAGATCAATTCTGCAGAGGAAGCGTCAGAAGAAGCGTCGGCTGCAGACAGAAAAACATATCCACACCATCTACGTCAGTATCGAGGCACAGAGGAATGAAAATATACACATTCACACGTGACTTACACATCTATACTTCTTCATATATTCATGATATAGTGAAAAAGGTTCCCCAATTCATCACATGGGCAGTTAAGGCACACAATGAGAGGGCAAATGGTCATAAATATGCCTGGATGCCCTAGTATCTTCAAAATGAATATTTACTCAAAACTCCAATCACACGATTTCGGATGTCTAGCTACAAAAGTAATAGTAATTTAAGAAACAATTCAGCTAACATAGCAAAGGGTGTTGAAAATAATCCGATTTGTATTATGCAGAAATGCATAAATTAATGTTCAATCGAAACTTCTAGGTGTGAAGCCAGGCTCAGATTTGCTCGAATGAACAGATCTAACTTCAGCTGCATATGTGCTGAGATATTTTCCTGTTTACATTATTATAACAAGTTCCAGAGGAAAACTAAAATAAACTATTGTTTTGATTTAACCTCCATGTTCAATAGTTAATATACATTACTGAAAATACAAACTTGACAATGTCGCATGGAAAAAGGTGGTGGTGTGTCCAAAACTATGCCTGGCCGCCTTCATCTGCTCAGTATTAATGCTTCCTCACTTCACCATGTAATTAATTTAAGCTCAATCAACATAGCAGAGGCCCACAATAAGTTCAGCTTTTACTTACACTATGTAACACGATTTTTGTCCCTGGGTAGCAAGTGTTATTTTTTAATTGGTTATGGCTAAAAAGTATAGAAAATGGATATTATTCCACAAAAACTTTGCTTTTGTGACTAGGACTTAACGTGAAGGAATGACACAAATGCACATGTTTTCTCATTGAAAATAGGTAATTTGCAAAATATCACTCTCCTGGTCACAAAAGCAAAATCTGTGGGGAATAATTGCCATTTTCTCTACTTTTCAGGCATAAGCAATTAGGAAAGAACACTTTCCTAATTGTCCCTGCTATCCAGGGACAATTTTTTTGATACAGTGTAATAAATTATGTTTGCTGTCAGAGATAATCTAAATAATTGTTTAGTCCATAATACAGTGAAATAACTGTGCAACAGCTCCCCACAAAGATAAACTCTTAAATACACATATATTTCACATGGATCATTAACATATTTATAAACAAAACATCCACCATTTATGACGAATTGGAAGTAACCTTATCACAGTGATAATGCCATGATGGGTGTCATTTAAGGCCATGTAAGTATGGATTCCTTGTCAGGAGATAATGGGAATGATCCAGGTGTCAAGGGATGACCGACAGATGAACCAGCTGTGCTCCGCTGTGTCTTGCTGGGTTTTAGGAATCCAGAGTTCCACCCATTCATGTGATTGGCACTCCTCCGACCTCATCGTTGTTGCAGAGCAAACATATCTTAACTGCCCTGCAGCATACCTCACGGGCCTCCCCCACAGAGGCCAATATTGACACTACTGATACCAGTCATTGGCAGTTCCGACCACCTCCACATCCTCCAATCTTTTCTCTAGCCAATGTCATGCCTGTTTAGCCCCTAATATCTGGACTAACAGAAGCTGTTTGAGCATGCGGTAACTGGGATTGCGGGATTCATGACCGAACCAATGCAGCCTCGTCTGTCAAAGAGACTCATGATTATATTCCATATTGATATATTAAGGATCTATAAGCTTAATACAAAATAGTCTGGTTGCATAGGCAGACCAGCTTTCATTGTATAATAAGCAAGCAGAGATGGTCAATTAAATAAGTTCATATTTTGCATCTACAGTGTAATATCTGGGGCCAAGAAGAATCACAGCTTTGTTCGTTCGTTTCTAAGAACGCTTGTCCTGGTGATGGTCGTGGTGGCAGCACACTGAGTAGGGCGGTTCAGGCCTCTCTTTCCCTGGCGACAGACTCTAGCTCAACCTGGGGAATTCCAAAGCGTTCCCTGGCCAGCCGAGTGACAGTCCCACCAGCATGTCCTGGGCCAGCCCTGGGGTCTTAGCCCAGTGGGACGTGTCTGGTAGAGTTCCAGGGGGAGACTATTGGGGGGCATCCTTACATACATATTTTATATTTATATCACCGATAGAGCCAGGTCCAGGGGTTGTCTTCGCCAACAAGCGACTCGTGGCCGCGTGACCATGCAACCAAGTCGGGCCAGCTTGAAATGGCTATGTGGTGCCATCATGTGCACCAAACATCAGCAGGATATAAGGGCCAGGAGTGGGTGGAATGCCAGTATGGCAGGAAGAGGGATGGTCTCAGGCGATGGACATTCACAGCTTTCATGTTTGCAATAACCACAACACAAGCAGTCAAATGCAAACAAAAAAGACAACTCTGATAATATGCACTGTCCTTGAATTTGATTAGAGCCTAGAGACTAGGCTCTAAGTAAAGCCGTCTCGGGTGTGGACCAATAAAATTCAAGGATAGTGCATACTATCAGAGTTGTATTTTTTGTTTGCATTGACTGCTTATGTTGTGGTCATTGCAAACATGATGCCTTGAATAAAGGTGTCAGTTTTTTGTGCCAGTTAAAAGGGTAAAACCTATTCCAATATGCACACATTTACAGACTTCATTGGCAGAATTCAATAAATAAATTACAATAAAGCCAGCATTGCAAGGCATCACTCTTAATGTTTGATTACTGAGACTTGTGTTTAGCCGGGTAACTTAGTTACCACGGAATAAAAAGTATACTTCCTTTGATCATGTTTGTGCACGAGTGGGGAGTGGTAGTGCAAATGTTCGTGTGCTGCGCCATAAACCCAGTGACCTGATTTATAGTCCCACAGAGCCAGACCACAACAATTGGCTGTCGCATGATGAAGCTGGTTGTAATTACTGGCGAAACGTCGTACTCAAGATTGTAAATGTTGTGGCTTGGCTCTCCAACACACAACCTGTGTGCTGTACTCGTGACGAATTGGCCACGCTCTGTTAACGTGACAAACCCTTACTAGTTGGCTGTGTCCGGGTGGTCGCGGGTTTAACGACACATTTATATATTTACGCGATCTAACCCAAACAAACCTGTATTACTACTGTATATTTGGAGTTTACGTGTCTCTCTCCCCGTGGTCGCGTGGAATTTCCTCCGGACCCTCCGGTTTTCCCCTCCACATTTAGAGTCAACATCACCACGCGTTTAGAGTATTTGACCGACAGACATTTCCACACGTTGATAAGCCACTTTGTTGTGGCTCAAGTGGGCTTGGCCTGGTAAAAATAAAACTGTAGAAATATTTAAAATACAAAAAAAATTCCAAGTAGTGAGCCAGGTGAAGACAAATTAAACTTCAGCAGAGAATTCAAGCAAATGCAATCAGGCGAGGGCAGGAGGCAAGGCCCCGCGTTGTAATGTTCCAACCTGGACATCGATTCCATACTCGCTGCAACTCAATTGATATCCCTACGAGAGAGACGGAGCGAGGCTCTATCTGGGTAAACAACAACAACAACCACCACAACAACAATCACGATGTGAACTTCTCACCTCGGATCTCTGTGAGCGCGCGCAGAGCAGCAGCTTCCTGGTATATCGGGACGTCACGCAGCAGCAGGTGACATGACGTCACTTGCAGGGTTCAACACACTCCGCCCCCCCAACGAGCAGCGGTGAATAAATTATATTAATGAGCCAGGCCCATGTCGGGTGATGAGGCTTGGCTGCTTATCCAGTCGCAATGAACTCGCGACGGGTTTTATGGATAAATTATGTTAATTACCCGACTGTGACTGGGCGTAGCTTTGCCCAAATAAGGATTTTTTACTGAAACCGTAATCGGCAGTGACCAAGCAGACGTGACGTCACGCTCAAAAGCGCGGAGTCGGGGGGGGGTTGGGGGAGTGACTTACCTTGGTAACATGACGTCACTAGCAGGGTACACCTCCCCCAGGCGTCTCACGCTGATGAGGTAATGCGCAGTGGTGACGTCAGAGAGCGAGCAGGGTTCGAGGTAAAGTTTATTTAGATTCCGTTTCCATTGCTCCCTCCCTTGAACAGAGACCCCTTGAATGCGTAAGCTCAACAACAACAACGTGAACATCATTGTCTGTGAAAATGTTAAGGTGCAAATAACGACGCGGAGGCCGGTCTTCAGGTAAGGGCTTGCGCCGGTTATTTATTCAGGGTTTGAGATAACTTTAACCCGAGGTAGGTGCCCTACACTGGGTCCTTCACGCGAACCTTCACTCTGTTCCTAGCTCGGCTAGCTCCAGGGCTGTCTCCCTCGAGTCGGATCGGGGGTTCAGGCAACATCGACCGACCGACCGGGGGAGAACGGCACCTTCTACGGCTCCAGCCGGCTTCTCGCCAGACTCCCCGAGCTCTACCCCTGGCTGTCTCTTCAATCGCTCGCTATCCCGAGCTCCCACAACGACCTCGCTTTTGTCACGGGGTCCCCCCCTTAAGTACCCCGAGGAGACATGACGTCATCGCACTGGACAGCGCGCGTGACGTCACGTCCCCATTTTACTCTTCTACATATACACTGTGTGTACACTTTTGATTTAAAGCTTTCGTGACTGCAGTAATTCATATTCTTAGTTCTTTCGGTAAAGTCACGTTGAAGGGAAACAACAAAATAATAAAATATATAACAAAATATATATAAATATATAATGAGATGTATAAATGTATTTAAATATATACAACATATTTGTTTTATTTTGTTGTTTCCCTTCAACGTTACTTTACCGAAAGAACTAAGAATATGTGTGTACACTGTCTGTGTACACAGAGAATAGGGTTTCCCCTTTTTTCTGGCAACATAACAGGTGTTAAGATGTTAAAACACCAAACTGAAAACTTTTACAAGGAATCATATCTGCAT